CACAACAACAGGTCAGGAAGTGTCCCACACTTCTGGGTTTATGTAGCATGGCAGCGGAGAAGAGGAGGGTGTGGGTGGCGGCTCAGTGGCGGAAAGCGAGAACAAAAAGGATATTGGGGAAGGAGAAGTGGGTAAGAAACGGTTCCATTGGAGACTAACTTCAAGCTTGGGAAGGAGATCCCTACCCAGTAATAGCATTATTAGGACGGAATGAGAGAGGGGGGAGTTCCCTACACCTAGAAACAAAGGTGGGGTTGCTAAGGGTTGTGAGGGCTTGCCCTCTAACCCACAACTGTGACCTGGGAAGGAGACGAAGGGCCCGAGAAGGGAGAACCGAGAAGGTAGCCCCCATGTTCACTGAAAAAGAGACTGGCTTGCCCGCTACCCTGATTGTCGTTTGAGGCTCAGCGATGGTTACTGGGATCGTTGAGTCTGGGAATCTTTAATCGCTGTCGGTGGCCAGGCTGAGCAGTGCCAATGGCAGATCGGGTTCAGAGGGACCGTTCCTCTGCGGCTAGGTGCCGAGGGCAGTCGTTTCTCCAGTGGCCCTGTTGACCGCACACAGGGCAAGGCTTGCTGGGTGGTTGGGACTTCGGGCAGTGCTTAGCCCAATGTCCTCCTGGCTACGCTTAAAGCAAGGTCCAGGTGGCGGACAGTGAGAGGTGTGGTTAGGAGCGTTGTTTCCTGATGTCTTCGGACCCCTTTCTCTAGCTGGCCTCAGCGCGGCAATCAAAGACTGGGCCCCTGGAGAGTGTGCTGCCATGCTTGGAACTCATGCACTGCCTCAGCCCTCTCCTCCGCCCTCTCCTCCCGGACGTTAAAAACTTTAGATGCCAGGTTTACCTGGTCACGGATGGGGGTCTGAGGGCCACCCTTGGCCTTTTTAAGTTTTTTAAAAATATTAATAGCTGACTGAGTTATAAAGTGAGTGACTGGAGAGGCGGGGTCTAACCTAGTGTACTGGGCTAAGGCCTCAGTCAAGCGTGAAAGAAAAGCCGCAGGTTTTTAATCTGGATGCTAAGTAACTTCTTGCAGCTTGTCAAAGTTAACTGCTTTATGAGAGATGGTTTTCAAGCAAGCCGGCCAGCAAACGTCATATCATGCGGTTTCGGCTAGCCTTGCCTTCTTGTCCAGCTTGGGTATCTGTTTGCTAAGTCCAAGCTGGCTCCTCCCTAGGAGCTGCCTGAGGGCCTACGGGCATGGTGGCATCTGTGAGGTGGACCTGGTCTGCATGCTGCTGGGCAGCTGTAGTGGCCTGCTCCCGCTCGTCAGGGGTAAGGGTAGAAGTGAGGACTACATAAAGATTATGCCAGGTTAAGTCATAGGCTTGGGTGAGGAGTCGGAAGTTCTTAAGATAGGTGGTAGGGTCCCGTGAGAAAATACCCAGCCGCTTCTCACACAGGCTGCGACTGAGGAGGTTGCGGGTGCTGCTTCAGAGGAAGCTGAGCAGGGAGCTAGCTTGGATGGAGAGAGAGAGAGAGAGAGACACACTCTGGGGAGTTGACAGTTTGGCTTTGGGGAGGTGACAGGTGTCGGAGGTAGAGTTGCCTCGATTTGGGGGAGTGCCTATGCCGGGAATTGAGCCAAAAGTCCTTGTGCAGGTTGGCAAGAGATGCAAAGAGAGGAATTGGAGCGGATAAAGAAAAAGAAAAGCTGGAATATACGGAATCTTAGGCCATGTTGGGGTTTGGTGACAGAAGTTGTTGAGTTCGTGGAAAATATTGAGATTGAAAGTAGCGTTTTCTGGGCAGTGTGACCCCTTGTCTAATTGGTATTGTGGCCGCACTTGGTTACAGAAGAGGACGAGACGCTGAGGGTGAATATCCGGAGCCAGGCCCAGTTCAGTGAGATTGGTCAGGAGGCAGGCATCCCAAGGGACTGTCCCTGGGAGACTTAGAGAGTAAGCTTTCCATGGCGTCTTAAACTGCAAGGGGTACGGTCAGAGGAGAAGGACGTCTCCTGGTCCCGGTCCGCACCCGTCAGTCAGGAGGTGGCCCGGTAACCCTGAGAGGCATCCCGGTCAGAGCCAGGGGCCCAGTGGGAGAGTCCTGGACTCCCCAGAACAGGAAGGTTCCCTGGCGCAGGCCTGTGGCTTTAACCAGCAGGCAGGACCTTGGGTCGGTGACAGTGAAAGACACCACAGGAAGCTAGGGATGGGGGGCTGGCTTTGTGGCCGGCTGATTGGAGGGCTGTCGGAGGCCTTCCTTCAGGAGGGAGCGGATTTTAGATAAGGTCTGAGAGCAGGCACCGCAGAACTGCCAGCACGAAACACACACACAGGTAGAAGATGCTCAGACTCACTCTGCGTTCTAGCCCGGTCAGAAGGTGCAGTGACTCCCAGGCCCAGTGCCAGCAGCCCTGCCAGCGGCAGAAACCCCAGGAAGTCAACACAAAGGCAAAAGGCTGTAGGCCATATGAGAGGGAAGATAGATACAGAGAGACACTGGCCTTATCGTTGCACCCCCCAGGGGAAAGGCAGTTATTTCCAGCTCCTCTTGGTACTAGGGGGACAGCATAACCCCCTGCCCGGAGCCGTATGGACCCTATGTTCCCGTATGAGTTTGCTGGTCCTTAGTGTCCAGAAAGACAAACAAGACAAAGGAGACAGAACAAACACGCACAGAAATACTGACCAGAAAGCGCTTGCGCAGGCGAGCTTTAGGCTGTGACCTGATTGACAGGTTGGCTACCCCCCCTACACTTTTGTCTATCTTCACGTTGACGTGAAATTACGTAACTACACCTCCTAAGCAAAAACTTTCCTCCAACCATCGTAACCGTTGGTCAAGTTTGGTGTCTTTTTCTTTGTTTTTTTAGTAGTTTTCTTGATATAGTATTCATATATCATACACTTCCATAGTTAAATCACTTTTAAAAGAGTCCTATGTACATCATCACCATCAGTTCAAATGTAAGGAAAATCCTAATATGGAATTTTAATCTTTGGAAGTGAAACCCACCGCCTCACCCTCTGTACTTCCTCCTTCCCAGAACACACCCCCCACGACCCCCTCCCTCCTTTACTATCACCTGCACTAGAAATCCCTGCCTGTTCTGCTTCTGTGACCTTGCCCTGTTTTGCGAACTTGCTCCTGAAGATAAAGCATACAAAGCTACGCCCACCCAACATGCGGGAGAACTTGTCATTCCTGAGTCTTTGCGAGCTGGGAAACCCAAAAGAAAAATAAAGAACAAAACAAAACTAGAAAGAAGAAAATAATAATAATATAAAGATAAAAATAGAGAGTAAGAAAGAAAAGATCAGAAACCACAGATTTGTTTGGCTGTTTTAAATGCACTCTAACAAGACTGAGAAGTGTGTTACGGAGAGAGCTTGTCTGCAGCCACCCAGTGATTGCAGAGACGGTATTAAACACATTTTGTTTGCAATAATCCCATATGTGTATGAACTGGAGACCTAGTGTCAACACTTTTGACCTTGATGAATTCATTATTTGAAAAGAAATTTAGTACATTTACCTGGCAGAATATATTAGAATCCCCCCCAAAAAAAATACAAACAAGAAAATGATGTTAAATGGCTTTTATCCTAAAAATAATTTATTACATTGCATAATCAAAAAGCCAATGACATTTTGCATTTCATGTAAAGCTTGATTCAGCAGCTTTGGTGTGTTCCCAAGGGCTCAATTTCCTTTTGTCCCCCAGCCCCCATATTTCCACAGTCTCAGCTTTCTTCTAACGTTATCTCATCCCATGGTAATTATAAAACAAAACAAAACTCACTCTGACCCAGTCAATTCCGACTCATAATGAGCCTTTAGAATGGGAGAGAACTGCCCCATGGATTTCCAAGACTAACTCTTTCTAAAAAAAAATCATTTTATTGTGGGCTCTTACAATCCATACAATTGTATCAATCCATAAATTATATCAATCATATTTGTACATATGTTGCAATCCATACAATTGTATCACATCTGTACATATGTTGCTATCATCATTTAAAAAACATTTTCTTTCTAGTTGAGCCCTTGATATCAGCTCCTCTTTTTTTCCCTCCCTCCCCCACACTCATGAACCCTTGAGAAATGATAAATGATTATTATTTTTATGTCTTACACCGTTTGCTGTCTTCCTTCACCCATGTTTCTGTTATTTGTCCCCCTGGAGGGGGGTAATTATTTGTCAATCATTACGATCAGTTCCCACTTTTCTCACCCTTTCCCCCACACCTTCCCCCTACGCTCATGGTATTGCTACTCCCATTACTGTTCCTGAGGGGGTTGTCTGCCCTGAATTCCGTGGACTGTAACTCTTTACGGGAGTAGAAAGCCTCAACCTTCTCCTGCAGAGCAGTTGGTCATTTCAAACCGCTGACCTTGCGGGGTTAGCTGACCTTGTGGTTAGTATCCCAGTGGGTAATCAGTATAGCACCAGGGCTTCTGTCTTAATAGTCAGCAACAATTTGCTCTATGTGCTTTATCCATTTACATCCAGCAGGGGGAGATGTTTTCTCAATACAGTACAGTATTTTGTTCTCAAAACTGGGAGGTGCTCAACTCATAGCAGAAAACTTGGCAATTCAAACTGATCCTTCCCGGGTGCCTGAAGAGAGGCCTACCAATCTACCTGGAAATCACTGAGTGCCGTTCTGCCCCGCAGCATATGGGGCTGCTGGAAGTCAGAAGAGACTGAATGGCAACGGACTTTTTTCTTTGAACCAGACTCCCAGACTTCACCCTGAATAGACTGACAATCTAGGTCACAAGCCTAGTCACTGTAGCAAAGAGGATGCATCTTGCCTACTGTTTAAGCCTGTCCTGGTCGACCCTGGTGTGGTAGTAAGGTCAGTCCCACCCATACTCCTTGATCTGGTATGTGTGGAGGAGAGGCCAAGGCAGTACAGTCAATGTGTTCAGTGTACAGGGAGTACGTAGGGAGGCAAGCCGGCCCTTGCCAAATGTGATTCAGTATTGTTTTTCTGTGTTTCTGTTTCAATGTTACAATGTTTTTCTTTTTTGTTTTTGTCTCATTAGCAAATTGTTTGCCACAGAAAACTATTTGGCAGCTATTAATGCATACAACTTAGCCATAAGACTAAATAATAAGATTCCATTATTGTATTTGAATCGAGCTGCTTGCCACCTGAAACTGAAAAACTTGCACAAGGCCATTGAAGATTCTTCTAAGGTACAGTCCTACCTATGTGTGTGTGTATCTATGCATTTATATATAGTGTTTTAAATTGTGATCTTCTTATTGGTTTAAATCAGGCCAATTTCTCCTCTATTAATTTGAAATACTTAAGATACAGGACTTTAAGCATCATCTTGCTTTTTTTAATTTAAATTTTATTTTTTAAGTTTTTAAAAAATCATTTTGCCTGGGGCTCGTAGAACTCTTATCATAATCCATACTTCCATCCATTGTGTCAAGCACATTTGTACATTTGTTACCATCATCATTCTCAAGGCATTTGCTTTCTGCTTGAGTCCTATCTTGCTTTTTTTTTTTAAATCATTTTATTGGGGGTTCGTACAATTCTTATCACAGACCATACATACATCCATTGTGTCAAGCACATTTGTACATTCTATCTTGCTTTTTAAAACATCATCCTATTACTTTTCTTGTAATCATCAAGGGACTAATTTTTCGTGAGATTGTCAAGTCAGATTAAATTCCCCCTGTCAACTTTTGCTGTATTTCCTTTATATCAGTTGAAGTTCACTGGAAAAAAAAGTACAGTATAACTTTACAGGTTTGAAGATTGATAGACTGAAGCAAATTTAATATGAGGGTAAATAAAAAAATATTGCTAAAACATCCTAGAAACATTGAACAAAAATATCAAAATTGAAGGTATTGTTTGTGGACATACCTCTGTCTCGAGTTACACTTGTCTGAAGGCAGTGTTTCCGTATCTTTAGCCACTTCCAGAGAATTCTGCGTTTGTCAGTTTGCACCATGTCAATGTGGCAGTTTGGGTATCCTGGAGGAACTCGTGTTTCTTTTATGTTTTCTTTGAGTTTTAGGAACAAAAGGAAGTTTTAAGGGGCAAAATTAGGCCTATGGGGTGGATGGGGTAAGGTTTCCCAACAAAATGCTTGTAGGACAGCTTTTGCTATCCTTGAAGGATCAGCACGGGTATCAGGAGGGGCAAAAAATTTCTTGATGCATATTTTCTGGGTGTTTTCTCATCAATACAGTTTTTAATTTTTTAAAAGACTTTTTAATGAACCCCTATGATTTTCCTGTGTCCCGAAAGAGTAAGAAACAAAGGAAAAATTCTAAAATAATTTTGGAATCCAAAAAAGCAGTTGTCCTAATCTGAGTTGACCCCTCGGCCTTGAATTTCGCGGGCCTACCAGATCCCTTGGGAAACCACTGCTTTGACTGGGTCTGAAGACGTCCTAATCAGACTAAGATAAGC